GAAAGCCACATCTCTAAGGGCACAGCATTAGGCTGTGACATAATGGACAGGTTGGACGCCACCCCTAGCCAAGAGTATCTAGTTGATATAGATCATCTGATAACCACAGGCTGCTAACTGCCAGGTCAGTATTTCAAATCCACCAGCTGCCCTGTGGGAGAAAAGACAAGACTTTCTACTCCGGTAAAGAATTACAGTCTTGGAAACTCACAGGACTCCATGGGGTTGTTCTAGGGCAGCGGTTCTCAACTTGTGGGTTGCGACCTCTTTAGGGGGTCCAACGACCCTTTTACAGGGATTCCCTAAGACGATCAGAAAACACATATTTCTGATGGTTTTAGGAACAGAGACATCGCTCCTCTATCCATCTCCAGGCGGGTCCGCCCACATGCAGATACGCCCAGATATGAGTACCCAGCATGAAGACTGTTACCCATGCTACACCATGCTTCAAGACAAAATTTAATTTATTTGTCATCAGAAATAAATATTTCACAATATACAATTACATATTATTTTTGTGATCAACCACTATGCTTTAATTATGTTCAATTTGTAACAATGAAAGTACATCCTGCATATCAGATATTCACATTATGATTCATAACAGTAGCAAAATTACAGTTATAAAGTAGCAATAAAAATAATTTTATGGTTGGGGGTCACCACAATATGAGGAACTGTATTAAAGGGTCAGGGCATCAGGAAGGTTGAGAACCCCTGGTCTATGGGGTCATGATGAGTCAGCATGGGCTTGAGGGCAGTGAGTTATTTCCTGGGTGGCAAAAATGATTGTCCAAAAGTTGTGCTTTGAACCCACACAGTGCCCTGCAGGAGAAAGGACTGATGACCCCATCATAAGGATGGCAGCCAAGAAGTCCCATGTGGCTCACACACCTTCTGCTCGTCTTTCTCACAGGGAGTCACCATGCAGTCAGAACCAATGGGGCAGCAGCAGGATGGTCTTATTCTTTCTAAAGACCAGCTGTTTTCTCAACACGGGCACCAAGATGGGCGCCCTCCATCTCCCGACATCCCCGCTACACTCTCCCTATTCCCTCTTGCATTGACATTCCTCTCACCCACACCAGTGGTGGGAAGCAAATCACTTAGCCACCGGTTCTAAGTGTACAAAAAAGATATACCAGAGGGTAGTTCCTTATTTCATAGAGTTAATAATTAAGAATAAAAAGGGTACATAAAACTAGATTATTAGAAGAAAGCACTTTAAAATAGTCATGAAAAAATATTAGATAACACCTGACCCTCAAACCATGAAACTGTTAAGATATTGCCACATTGCTTCTTGATTGTTGGGCCCACTGCCGTATTGCTCACTTTACCCGAGCATCATCGGCTGTGTGGTTTTCTGTAACTGCCTAGGATCCCATGTTCCTTTGGCGGTAAGCCAATTAGACCATAGGCGTTGATATTTGGAAACAGGCGACTTCTCTTCTCTGAACACACTATGTTCATCTCTGAAAAACCCCTTCCCACGTCTGCTGAACTTAGAGCCACGGTCCTGGGTCCTGACATTTTTAGCTCTTTGAACAGAGGAATTGGGTCATTCGCTCATCCTGTCCCGCGGGCGTCTGGGGCGTCACACGCACTGAGACGAAGGACAGCGGCCCCCTCCGCGGGTTTGGCACTCTTTCTCTTTACGTCCTATGCTTGCTGACTGAAGTAACAAGCACACGGGATAGACAGGTAGCATTTCATCACAAGAGTACCGAGCTCGATGAAGAGAGTACATAAATGTTACAGGCACGGTTCCGTCTAATTTTTGGCGCCGTGGACGGAATGGGCATGACGACAGGCCCTCACCAGGCGCTGTTGCGCAGAGGAACGTTAAAGAGGAGTCAGGAACGTAAATCGTGCGATGTCCACATCGGGTGGCCACCCAGGTGCCACCCTAGAGAGCACCCAGATTACAAGTGCCATGTTAACCACCGGTTCCCGAACTCAACAAAAAGCAGGAATCGTTTCTGCCAAACGAGCTGCAGCCCTCCACGGTTCCTGCCATTTCCTCTAACTTTCTCAAGTCCTTGCTCCTGCAAGTCCTCCTCGTCCTCCTCGTCCTCCTCCTCCACCTCCTCCTGCTCACTCGCTCCTCCCTCTGGACTGGACTCTTTCTATCACTGTGAAGAGGAGCTGAATGATCTCCCAGTGGTGGGAGGTGGAGAGCCCCCAACAAAATCCCCCCTGAATTTCTCTTCTTTCCAGCTTCTGACCTGTCCCTCTGTAACCCAATATAACGAGCGTCCCTGAAAACGTCATCTCCGGCTCACCTCCTTTCCGTCATTTCATATCCGCTTTCATCAGTTTCATCCCTTGGCTCTTGACACCTTCGACCTCCCCTCCTCCTCCTGCATCAGGCTTGCTGCACTGACACCTTCCCAGTTTCCCTGCGGGCCTCTTCCTCTTCCCACCTTGGCAATGTTGGAGGGCCCTGGGGCTCCAGCCTTGCCCCCTCTTCTCCTCTTCTTACCCACTCTCCCTAGATATGCTTTCTCAGTCCTGTGGTTTTAGCTATTCCCTGGATACCCATAATTTGACTACAAGACTTCTACTGTTCAGGTGCCTGTGGAACAACAGTCACCAGATATTGCTCAAGGGGGTCACCTTGACCTGAATGAGAAGGAGGTTGGTGCAGGAGACTACTGGGGCATGGTGTTTGGTTATGCCACTGACGAAACTGAGGAATGTATGCCTTTAACCCTTGTCTTAGCCCACCAGCTCAATGCCAAACTTGCTGAACTACGTCGCAATGGCACCTTACCTTGGTCACGCCCAGATTCTAAACCTGAAGGGACTGTGCAGTACATGAAGGATGGAGGTGCTGTGCTGCCCATCAGAATCCACGCAACTGTTATATCTGTTCAGCATGATGAAGATCTTTCTCTGGAGGAGATGAGGGAGGCCCTGAAGGAGAAAGTCATTAGAGTCATTGTTCCTGCAATGTATCTTGATGAGGACATAATCTACCACCTACAGCTTACTGGTTTGAGTGGCCAGAAGATCATTTTGGACACTTATGGAGGCTGGAGAGCTCATGGAGGAGATGCCTTTTCAGGAAAGGATTGTACCAAGGTGGACCGCTCAGCTGCTTATGCTGCCTGTTGGGTGGCAAAATCCCTCATTGAAAGAGATCTGTGCAGAAGGGTTCTCGTGCAGGTCAATGACGCTATTGGCGTTTCTCACCCATTATCAATTTCCATTTTCCATTATGGCACCTCTGAGAGAGTGAGCAAGAGCTAGTCGATATTGTGAAGAAGAATTGTGACCTCCGCCCTGAAGTCATTGTCCTGAATCTTATTCCCAACCTTGTCCCCCATCGAGCTCCAGCTGGTGAGTCTGCAACTTCTTGAGAGACGGCTATAAGGAATCTTAACCTTGCGTAGCTACTTGCCATCAGGGACTTCCAACGTACGGTGGCCTGGTGTGCGACAGGCATGGAAGGGAATGAATGTCGCCCGGTCAGTGCCTTCTCCGCCACGGTTGGTATGCTCGTGTCTGTCGTTGTGGCTGTTGCGTGACTTCCATCCCTTTAACAACATCCAAATAGAGCCTCTCAAGCCTTTTCCTCGCCTAAAGAGCACCACGGTATACCCAGTGATTCTGGAAAAACCAACAAGTCTCTCTTTGATGCCTGGTTCTCCACAGTCAATTCATTGAGTCCTTGTACTGTTTCCTACACAATTTATCCAGATCATGACCCCTCCTCACCGCTGGACGGAGACAAGATCGACGTTGTCAAGGATTTCGTCTCGTTCGCCCCGTCTTGACTGCTTCCACGATCAGTTCTCATAGAAACCGCAACCAAGGGATCAAACGATGCGCTGCTGAGTAAGACCTCTTCAAAGTGCGGGGAAGCAGGGATGTTCCTTTGAGGACTAAGGTGTGGTGCGCCTGATCTAAGTCCTGGTATTTTCCATGGGCTCGTGTGCGCGAGAAAGTTGGACCGTGAATAAGGAAGACTGAAGAATAATCTATGCATGTAAATTACCGTATGGTGCTGGTGAAGAATATTGACGGTACACTGCCAAAGGGGCAAGCAGACCTGTTCTTGGAAGAAGTACAGCCAGGGTGCCCCATAGAGGCAAGGGTGGTGAGAGCTCGTCTCACGCACTTTGGACGTGCTGTCAGGAGAGGCCAGTCCTGGGAAAGGCAAGCATGCTGGGTAAAGTGGACAAGAGGATGGCCCACCAGAAGATGGATCGACACACTGGTTTTAACAATGGACTCAGATGTAAGAACAATTGTGAGGTTGGTACAGGACCGGGCTGTGTTTCATTCTGTTGTACACAGGGTCACTATGAGTTGGAAGCAACTGGAGGACACCTGACGACAACAACAACATGACCTCTCCTTGTCACTGTTATTGCTACAGCATTAGCACAGCATCACCCTACCCTACAACCCCGGTCTCTTACATCCACGCTTGTTCTCGTCTCCACGTGGCAGTCTGAGGCCGTATGCAATAGGAAGTCAAGGGGCATTTCTTCACGGTCTGCAGTCCTGCAATGGTTTCCTACGATAAGCAAGATGAAAGCCAAGCTCCTCACCTGGCCTGCGAGGTCCTGCTCCATCTAGCCCTCTGCCAGCCCCTTTGACTTCATCTCCTTCCCTCTCTCCATCCGTGTAAGGGGCAACTTTGGGAATCATTTGAACATACCAGACTGTTTCTTGACACAAGATCTTTGCACCTGCTGTTTCTCTTTTGGGAACTCTCCATGAGTTTTCAAAAAAACCACCTCCTTCCTATCATTCAAATCTGAGGCCAGCCGTTTCCTTTCCCTCCTCAGATCACTATAGCTACAGGAATCTCGCACCACCTCTCCCATTTTTCTTCTTTAGTTGTTTTATTATGATGAAAAAGTATGTAACAAAGTATATGTGCCAACTCCGCGTTTTCAGCCTGTCCAGTCAGGGACCGGTGTGACGTTCATCTTGCAGTGTGGCCTTCAGCACTGCCAAGTTCCGAATGATTCCACACCTACCACAGAAGCGCAGCGTCTCCACGCAGCACTCCCACTGCTCGTTCCCGCTTCCCATTCCTTTGAGAGTCCGTCTGGTTTCCTTGCCTCAGCAGTTACCCTGTTTCCCCGAAAATAAGAGAGTGTCTTATATTAATTTTTGCTCCCAAAGATGCGCTAGGTCTTATTTTCAGGGGATGTCTTATTTTTCCATGAAGAAGAATACGGTACACGTTTATTGTTTATTGTTTTATTAAAAGAGACCTCGCACTTCCTGTCTGCTCCAGCTGCGTTGTGCCCAACAGTGAGCTGCGTGGCGATGCCCACCACTACGGTCCACAGTCCAGAGTTATGGTAGCTTCGGGGGGCCTTCTTTTCAGGGAGGCCTTATTTTCAGGGGGATGCCTTGTATTTCAGCAAGAGGCAAAACTGTAAGCAAGTCTTATTTTCGAGGGTGTCTTACTTTCGGGGAATCAGAGTATTACTTCCAGAAAACCATCCTATCGGCTTATGTTTCTCTCTCTATCCACTAGACTAGGACAAAGACTGTTTTCTTCCATGCCACGTCTATAGCCCTTCACACAGTACCTGCTCCAGAGAATATACTTCACAAAGATTTATGATGTCATTAATTATCTGGGACTGTGTGACAGTGTTAAGTGGCCATGTATTTATTGGACAGACATTGTGCTGGGTGATGGGGCCACAGCAGTGCTGGGGGACTGGGCACCACACCAGAGGAGGACAACAGGGGAGGGGGTTGCAAGCTCAGATAGCCTGGGAACAGTATTTGGTTCTGCTAACCTTACTGGTGACTTTGGGCCAATGACTTAGCCTCTGGGAACCTCAATTCCTCATTTATAAATGAAGACACACTAGTGGCTACGCTCAAGAGTTCTCATGAAGGAGGATTTGATGAGATTGTCTACCCAGAAATGCCTGGCCTATAGCAAGCACTCAATGACTGTTAGCGCTTTTATGATGAGGAGCAAGGGTCATGTCGAACCCTGGACCCAGCAATGCCTTCTTTTCCCTCTGAATTGAGAAGACCATCCCCTGTGCTCCCACACCATCCAGATTTTTATCTCTTGGATTGAGATAGTTTATTGTGCCAGCCTGGCTGATAAACACAAGTGGGATTAACTGAAGGGCAGAGAGATAAATGGCTTGGTGAGTCTCGCCTTTCTTTTCTCTCGCTCTTTGATCTTCTGACCAGTCACCTTTCTTGTCTCTCGCTCTTTGATCCTCTGACCAGTGTGCGGCTGCCTTGCTTGTTCTGTGCCTCAATTTAAAGGCTATACTACCTGTGGGACACCTAGCCTGTGAACTGTGTCGCTGTAAGTTGAGGTCCCTTTAAGACTTCTCTGGAGCTGGGGACTGGC